TGTGGGCTAGAACCAGGACAGACTGATTCCTGTCTCCCTGTGGTCTACTACCTAAAGGAAGCCTCTCTGTCATGACAATGTAAGAGGTACTGTACAGAATGGCAGTGGAGTGAGACCCTAGTAGACTGTATAAGGGTATCTGGTTGGGACTGGAGTCACCTGCTTTGAGAGTCTTCCCTGCTGCAAGTGGATGCACATGGCAGGATTTAAGATGTCAGAGCTGCTTAATGGAAGGTGATATTGTTGATCACCTGGGGCTTGAAGGAGGACTGAGGCTCAGGTCAATGTAGTCACCTAAGGATCTCTTCCTCCCTGTCCCTAGAACCTGGGCACCCAGGCCTCTTCTTGTTAACATGAGCCCCTCTTGGCTCCTGCCCTTTGCGGATGCTTGTTCACCTGAACAGTTGGAAGGATGTTGGTGGTGAGGGGGCAACAGGGCCTGGGGTGAGTGGACCCGCCAGTATCTCCTAGAAGGGAAGTCAGTAATTGAGTGGTCTCAGAGGAATGAACATTTCTAGTGCTGCACAGAGCTCATGAGGAGATGCTGGCAGTCTGAGCAGCTTCTGGGAGAGTGGGTGGTGTGCATGTGAACACACCAACCCTGCCTTGAAGAGGATGACTGCGGTGGGTCCAGCCACTTGCACGCACCTTTCTCCTTCACTCAGCAGTGTGTACTTAGTGACTGCAGAGGAAGACAGAGAAGCATGTAGACAAGGAAAGAAATAGCCTTGCAAAGCAGGCAGGGGAGTCAATTACGAACCACAGGCAGAACTTAAAAGGGGAAATAAAAATCAAGAGCACTCCTGAAGGTTACCAAGTTCACTTTGGGCTGTTCATGTAGGAAAACTTCAGCCGAGCCTCATGGTTGCCCAGTTCTCCAAGGACAGGACGTGTTGACATCAGCACAGCCAGGGTCATTAATTACCTTGGTTTTATGATGGAATCCAGGTTTATAGGAAACATTTGAGATTTGTTATTTTGGGGATCAACATGATAGAATGGCCTTGTTAATTTTGGTTTCGATCTGGGTACACGTGTTCTGCCTATGGGATGTGCTGTGCTCACTTGTGTTAGAGGCAGGACCAAGTGTCTTTTTTTAGTCCATGGTTCCTGCTTGTTCTTGCCTCTTCTGGGCTCAAGAGACACAGCAGACTGTACTTTCTACCTGTGGGTCAGTTGTACTTTGCCCTTTGCATGAGCGTTTTTCTCAGTGTGTCCCTACCCTGGCAGAGTGGACCAAGGGAGCAGTGTGCAGTGGGGTGTCCACCGGTCTGCTCTCTGCTCCCCGCCCTCCTCCTTTGGTTGCTAATGCTAAAGGCCACTGACTGCTGGCTTTGGTTTCAGATATTTGGCATCTTCCTGGCAAGGACCCTGATCTCAGACATCGAGGCGGTGAAGGCCGGCCATTACTTCTGAGGAGCAGAGACGAGCAAGTGCAGCTGAGCCACATTGTGGAGGCCAGAACCCTTCACTGTCATCAACCTTATATCCAGTGGGAGAGAAGCTGGCACAACCACCCGGAGCCAGCGCCCTTTCTTCAGCATCAGTGTGATATGAACTCTATTTCTCCTTGCTGGTGCTGAAGGCCCAGGGCTCCTTTTTACCTGCAAGACTTGAGCCTGCATCCCTGCTGGGACTTCCTAGAGGCAGAAGTGTCTCTACATGGGGCAGTGGCCCCGAGGGACAGACTGGGCTTCTGTGGCTGTAAGGAGTGCCTGTCTTGGCCCTCTTGGAGACCGAGAGCCTCTGCAGACACCTGCTCCTCACTGCAGGCTTTGGGTCATGGGCGCTAGCCTGATGGACAGCCACATCTTAGGGTGGGACATGGGTAAAGGGACAGCAGGTGAGCACAGAGCTTCTCTTTCCACCAAGTCCAGCAGTGCAGTGGCCTGCTCCTAGCTGGGGAAGGGGAGGGGCTCAAGTGGATCTGTGTATGCTAGTGGGATCGTGGCGGGTTAGGATCATTTGCAGGACCCTCAGCCATGTCCAAGTGAAGTAAGCCTGAGCCAGGGCATGACTGGTGCCACGAAATGCCTCGGCGGCTACCCGCCAAGCCCCACTGCCATTTTCCAGGACAGGAACTGCCTCTGGTTTCAACAGCATTAAGCCCTGGTTGCTGGGGAAGCGGGGGTGGCCCGTTCCCCACTGAGAGCCGGCTCTCGTTTTCTTAAAGTGTGTAAATAGTTTATTTATAGGGGTAAGAATGTTTTCACACCATGTCTTCATTTCCTTTTCCTTTCCTCCGGCATTCTCCTCTCAGCAGCCTTACACAGTGTCTGGAACTAAAAGCTGTCCCTTTCAGTTCCCCTGAGTGTCTCCAGAACCAACCACAGCAGCCTGTCCTTTCCATCTACTGTGTTCCTGCATTCCCCTTCCTCCATACACTGCCCCCGAGACACACCCCACCTCCCAGCTTGGCCTCACTGTCTTCCAGTCTTGGTGCTACTAAAGCTGTCACCCGAACTTGAATCCTGCCCCTCCTTCCCCATGGCCTGCCCAGGATGCCCCAGCCCCCCACATAGGCAGCCAAAAACCTTTTGGGCAGAACTTCTGGTCGAAGCTATACGCCAAAGGGTGGCTGGCCTGACATCTGTCCTTAGAGAGAGCTGCTATCCTGCAGCCAGGCCTTTGCTGAGCTGTGCACCCCAGGCCACAGCTGCTTAGAATCTTGGGACATTTTATTTCTCACTTTCGTGGTGATTCCCCACCAGGATATGTGTGGTCACTGTGCCCACCCTTCCTGTTGGGGCTCTTCTGGAGCTTGCTCTTGGCAATGAAGTTTATTGTATGTGCTGAAAAACCCTTGGAGTAGTTGGGGCATTGTCCATCTTTGGCTGGGCTACTTCTAATGCTTCTCTGTAGCTTGTACCAGTTCTGTCCTTACTGTTCAGGGATCGAGAGCTACCTTCATTCACTTGCAGAAGTGTACATTCTAGTGTGGTGTATACTGGTTATGCTGGTGGGTGTTTGTTGTTGATGATGATGATGATGATATTTTTGTTTTGTTTTGTTTTGTTTTTTACCATTCTCTGTAGACTAGAGGAAGAATGCTTGTGTTTTTAGAAAGTGTGTTGCTTCTCTTTGACTGCCAAACTCTTTTATGGAATATATCTTTATATTAATGCTGCTGTTTTGGTTGTTTTTATTTGGAGTCACTACCAAAATGATTTTAAATACACAGTATAAATTTGGCTGCAGGGGGAATGAGCAGGATCAAGTGTAACTAGAGGTATAGTAGTGCAGATTGGCACGTTCCAACATGGATTTCAGTTATCCTTCAAACAAGGCTACAACTGGAACTGGTTGACTTGTGGTGTAGCCATGCCTGTGTGTAGGCAGGAGCGGAAGAACTTTAACCCTCAGGCCCATAGGAAACATTACTTTAGGTGATTCCTTTCCAAACCCTGACAATACTGTTTACCCAAGCAAAAAAAGCTTGGGGACTATGGGTTAGTATCTGGGCATTGCTACTACCTGAACCATGTATCCTGGACTTGTTGGCCTCTGTGTTGTTGGGGGAGGTAGGAGGGTGTCAGGGGCTGTGTCTACCTCAGGGAGCCTTCCACCAAACCTCCCTGCCAGTGTGTTGGTGGCCATAGACCCTGCTTGCCAGAGTGTTGGTTCCAAAGGCTTCAGACAGCTCTTGCGGTCCCATCTATTCATGTAGTCCTATTGCCTGGACCCCTTGGAATCCTCCTAGGTACCACACTCCAATTCAGGAGGAATTCTAGCCATGACTTCCAGAATTTTGTTTCTCAATTAGTTCATAAAATGTTCAGGCCATCTCGTTTAACTCTTGAGTCGTTGGTTGAAGAAAGAAAACAAATCAAGGATTAGGGAGCCCCTGACTTGAAGCTCAGACACCCTACCTTGGCCTGCCCTGTACCCTCACCTTCCCTGTTCTCTCAGGCTGCACAGAGGCCAATGTGCCACCTCTGCACTCTCCTTAAAGCTTTGTCCTCCTTAGAGCTCACTTTTTTAACTTTTTACTTTTTTTTTTTTTTTTTTTTTTGGCAAGCACTCTACCACTGAGCCACACCTCCAGTTCTGCCACTCACTTCAAAGTCTCCAGGTTTCTCCTGTCCTTCCTGTGACCCTCCTCCTACCTCCTCTCAGGACTCCGCCCTGCTTTTTCCCCACCCCTCTTCCTGTTGCTGCCTTTTTTCCTCCTCCTACAGACTTGCTGAGGCCCCATTGCTTTCCTTTCCCACTTTCCTTCCCTGGCAGCTTCTTCTCTGGCCACTCTCTGCCCTTGTCATCCCCACCAGTACTCTCCTTTTGGCTGGTTGTCAAACCAGGACAACCAACTCTTCAAAAGCCTCTGCTTCTGAGGTCCAGGTGTGCTACTTCTAACCCTCTTCCATCTGTCCCTCTCAGGCCTCAGCTGTGTCTGCCCCACCCTCCTCAGTGGTCTCCAGGACCTTCCCATTGCTCACAGGTCAGGGTCCTGGGTCAGGCAGGAAAAGCATCTGCATTGCTTCACAAGCCCAGGCACTCGGTGTCCCCACACAAATAACAATAAAAATTAATGGACATAGTACAGTATGTTTCAGCAACACAGGAAATACTCAGAGTACTTAAGAATTAATAACTCATTCAAGCACCAGAACAGGTCTGAGGAAGCCATTTTCATGCATAAAACATGTACCTCAGAGGAAGGTAGGTTACCTCCAAGGATTGGGAAAGGTCTGGTTTAACTCTGGAAGCCTATCCCTAGAAACTCACCTTGCAGCTAAAGCAGGAGGCCAGGAGGTAACCTGCCAGCTCTGAATTTCAAATCTAATTGGCTCCTGCTAAACAGAACCAGTCCCAGAAGATCCTCCAGGTCACTGGGCTCAGAATCTATAGGCATTTGGGAAAAGTGGGGAAATGGTGACCTCCCCTCCGGGTCCACATGATGACTTCCTGGACTTGAGTGCCCAGTTTGATTTGGGGGCCTTTGGAAAAGTGGGGCATTGCTTCTAAGCACAACCCTATGCTGGGCTGTAGGCCTTGGTGTCACACAGTAGGTTCAGTTTGCTGTAAGGCCCAAGCTGTGCTGTGTTCAGTCCACAAACCGACTGCTCCCTAGCTCTGTGTGAGGTGCTTATCTTAAAGCCAAGTTGCTGGGGATGGGGTGGGGACAAAGCTTCCCTGCACTCAACAAGCTTATGGAGGCTGGGCATTGTGGGGTAAGAGGGCAGCCTTCTCTCAAGGAAGTGCTGAGCAGAAGCCACAGAGGGAGGGCCTCTGTCCAGCAGGAGGGTCCACATGATGACTTCCTGGCCAGCAACCTCAGAACATGGTCTGCAGAGATGCAGAGAATGGGGAGAGCTATCTCAATGGCCCAGCACCTGAGGTTCCCACTGTCATGGAAAAGTCCCTACCCAGATGTCAGTTGTGTCAGCACTGGCCCCCACTAGCTGAAAACCCTCAGGTCCACCAGGTGAGAAGGGAGGAGGAACAGTACTTCATGTGGGCCTTTGCTCCAGTGTCAGTGTGTTTGTGTCTCCAGGGCTACAAAGCTTTAGCTCATCAGCCCCATGATGGATCTTGGTAGAAGTGCTTCTATCTGATCATGTCCAAAGGATCTCTGGGCTTCCAGGTCAGACTGGGCCACCTGCAGGCTGTTCTCATTTACCTGGGTGCTCTCCAAAGGCCCAGAGAACCACATACTTTTAGGGCATTTTGAACTTCTTACAAAGTCACAATTAACTGGCCTTTCCTCCTCAAAGTCTATGTTAAAACCAAATTTATTCTCAGAATGATTTGGGGGGCTTTAAGGAGTCTCAGAAATGTCACATGTAGAACTGGGGCTATTGTGGAACCTTAGGAGAAAAAAAAAAAAGCTAAGGATACATTTAAGTGGAAACTGTTCTAGGGGTTCTGTGGGGTCCCAGCTCTGAAGAGGGCAGAGTAAAAATTCCTTACAAAGGTTGGAGTTGATTATTTCTTCACTTGCCTCCCCCGCCCCCTGTGTTCTGTGTCCTGTATTTCAGCAGGGCTTTCAAAAGCATCACTTAATAACTACCAAAATAAATTACCACCTTGGACTGTAATTTTGTCACCTCAAGCAACTTTTAAATGTGTCTTTTAAAATATAAGTAAAAGCAATCTAAATAGAGTATAAAGTGATTTTTTTTTCTGTTGCCAGAGGCAACCATAATGAAGTCTCCTTCCAGCAAGTGTCTTCAGATCTTTACACAAATGGCAATCATTTTACATGGTATCCCATGATTAGTTTTACTTAATATACTGATCTGTGGTGCATTTGCATGGTTACACTGTCCATTGTGGGGCTGTGCCACCAGCAAATGAACCTTGCCCTCAGTAAAGGGGAGTATGTTTACAGACATAGGTAACAGAAAACCTAGTTCAGACTGGCCTGCACAATGAAGGGAGGGTTTTGGCTCCTGAAACTGGAAAGTCCAGAAGTGGGGTGAGTTTCAGGGCTGGTTTGATCCAGTGGCTCAGCAATGTCAACAGGATCTGGTTTCCTTTCTCTCTGCTCTGCCTTCCATGGTATCCCCATCTTCTGGGGCTGAAGGAGGAATCATTCCACCTGGGACAAGCTCCTGTGATGGATGCAGCATGGGGTAAAGCCACTGGGGGAAGGGAGGCCCTCCTGCTTGTTCATTTCACTTAAACCACATGGCAGGATGTGGTTTAAGCAGAGTCCTGTAGGATGGGGGATAGATGCGAGATGCAAACAATCCCCACCACCCCTGCATTGCTGTGGGTGAACATTAGGGTAGCTTGCAGGGTTTTGTTCTAACAAGGGGTTGAAAAAAAAGCATGTGTGTTTGGTTAATGGAATTACTTCTTAGTAGGATTTATAACATGTTTAAGGGAATTCTCCAGAGGGTTGGCTTACATTGGGTTGGGATGTGCCTCTTTTGCCAGGTCATTGCTGGTGTATGGGAAAGTGTCCTAAACCTCTCCTCCCTTTTTGGTAGGTAATAATCCCTCTCTTGGACCTTTCAAGGATTAAATGAGATGTGGTGGGTAAAACATTAGTTAGTATGGTAACCCCCAAGTTATTGCTAATGTAGTTGCTAATGTGGTTTGGAGATTAAGGGGATTTGATCTGTAGCTTTTTGTCCCCACCTGCTGAGCTGCCTGGGTTACATGTCATACAGCTCAAGTTCTGAGCCCAGTGAAATGAGTAAGATGTAATATTCATTCCTCCGCCCTTTTGGGCACAAGGCTTCCGGGTTTGTAGGGAGCCTCAGGCATTTGGAGTTCAAGATCTGTTTGCTTTATGTCCCTTTGGGATATGGAGGTGAGAGGAGGATGCTTCCTACCTGGAACATGGATCCTGCTAGAAACCTACACAACCGAAGAAGTTGCCCCTCAGGCCCCACAAAGCAGCAGGGGGCCCTCACCTGTCAGGGGTTCCAGGACTGCTATTGACACCCAGGGGCACAGGAGGGATGGTCCACAGGGAGAAAGAGCTTGGAATGGGACAGAGGTGAGCTGGAATAGCAGGGCCTGGTGTGTAATGATGTGCTCTGAAAACTACAGAACATCTCATTGGGTGGTTGGTGGACCCCATCTGGTCCCCTGCTCCTGGTAAGAACAGAGGCCTGGAGAAGTGCTAGGACCTGCTGGAGGAGGCCAAGTACCCTCACCTGATCAGGTGTAGGAAGCCTGGGATCATGCTTGGCTCTTTAAGAGCCAGGGGACCTATGTGAGATAGGTGCACAGGCCCTGCTGTGCTTGCCAGGAAGCCCTGAGAAAAACTTGGTGTCTGAAAACTGTGGGAATGTCAGGAAAAGTCAGGTAGAGTGTGGCAGTTGTCACCACCAGGGCTGGTGTCTTCCTCTTCTCTCCCTAAGGTGGCCATTTCAGCCTTACTGTGCCTTTGCAAGGAGGTCAGGGTGGCAGGTTTGCAGATCCTTTGGGCACAAACAGTCATTCAGCTATTAGCTATTGTGTTTTCTTTACTTTTAGATTTGATTTTTTTTCTTCCTTTTTTTTTTTTTTTGGAAATCAGTACAGATGTAGTTTAATATGGGAAGACTTGGAGTGGTCTCTGGGAGGTATTGAGTACCCTGTCTCTGAAGGAATGCAGTACTTCTCTGGGATAATATGGATAGGATAGGCAGCATGTGAATTTTGTGCTTCATGGACTGAAAGCAACTCCTTCCATCTATTGATTAAAAAGGGGGGCGGATAGGTTGTAGATCAGTGGTAGAACGCTTGTCTAGCACATGTGAGACACTGGGTCCAATCCTCAGCACATTAAATAAATAAATAATATAAAAGTATTTGTTTCTATCTACAACTAAAAAATGTTTTTTTTTTTAAAAAGCATGACTCTAATATTACATGTGAACCTGTCAAGGTTTTAATTCATTAAATAAGGGAGTTGGTAAGATTAACAATTCAAAGGAGGAATCACAATGAATCATAAATCCATATGTAGTAAAAGTGTTGAAATTGTCTTTTTTTTTCAGGAAAGGAAGCAGTTGAATCTCTTCGGGAGATATGTACATCTATTGACAATAACTCTGCAACATAAAGAGTTGTAGAATAGCTCAAAGGCGATGAAGATCTAGAATCGAGATCAGATAAATGGGAAAGTGTGCCCCAAACAATGCATAGGTTTCCACTGAAGACACTCAGAATGTTTTTTACTTATTCCCAATTTCCTTCTACCTCTTGTCCCTCTAGAGCTTACTTTTAAAATAGAACCAGGCAGGTCATCGAAAGGAACCAATGGCTCACAGTGATAAGAGGTGCTTGAGGATTAGAACACTTAGCTGCCCCAGCCAAGGGCCAACCACTATGGGAAGCATCCTGGGGGTTCTTTCAGCATGAATGGCTGGCTCAAGCCACGTCTGCTACCTGCAAAGCTCATGTCTGCAAATCTGCTTGTTTTTTTGTTTAAACGAAAGAGGGGAAAACCCAACTTTTTGTTTTCTTTTTTAAATAAAAAGATGGAGTCTTGCTTTGTTGCCCAGGCTGGCCTCAAACCCTGGGCTCAAGTGATATTCCTCCATCAGCTCATGAGTAGTTGGGACTACAAAGTTTGAGCCACTGTGCCCAGCTGCAAACCTGATTTACATTTGCTTCTTGACCCACTGCTGCAGACACCTCAGTTGCTGCATCCCAAACTGCTTAACATGTTTTCTCTTCCCCCCAGCCTACATTGCACTCACACCACAACCAGCCCTTGTCCTCTGTATCTCAGCTAAGCTCCCCACCATTTATCAGTGACCAAATGCAAGAATATGGTATCACTTGGGCTATGGCAATGAAATTGATTCCTCTGTAGTCAGTAGGCCATCTATCCTAAAAGTTAAACACCATCTAGCCAAGTGATGCTGAATACTTCACTCCCTGGAGTAGCCACCATGACAGATTTCAGTATCATTTACCCCCTTTTTTGTCTGAATGATTCCTGAGACTCTCCTTGTTTGTAATGTATGCATATAGGTGCATTTGATTTTTGTTTTCTTATTTATTTAAGTATCAGGGATGGAACCCACGGGTGCTGTACCACTGAGCTACATCCCCAGCCCTTCTTATTTTGAGACAGGGTTTTGCTGAAATTGTTGAGGCTGGCCTCACACTTGGGGTCCTCCTGCCTCTTCCCAAGAAGCTGAGATTGCAGGTGTGTGCCACCATGCCCAGAACAAAGTAAAGTGTGTTTACTTTTCTCTCTGAATCTTGAAGAGATTCCTGAAAGATATAGGGGTGAGAGGACTTTGGTCATGTAGAAGGAAACCTGTGATGGATGTTTTAAATAATAGGAGTGGGGGGGGTCCCCAGCCCCTAGCTGCTGAATTCTCCCCTCTTTCCTCCCTGAAAAACAGTTCTTAGAACTGGCAAAGACATGCATTTTAATGTCACAATTTTGATCTTTTTAAAAAATTCCTAAAATTTTTAATACCTCCCTGTGTTTGTCAGTTTCTATCACTAAAGTGAAATACTTGAGATAAGTGACTTATAAAGAGAAAATGTTTATTTTGGCTTACATTTTGGAGGCTTCCAGTTCAAGATTGATTGGTCCATTACTTTGAGCCTTTAGAGAGGTAGAATATCACAGCAGGAGTCTTGGCAGAGCAAAACTGCTCACCCCATGGCCAAAAAGGAAAAGAAAGAAGATGAGGCTGGGGTCTCACAGTCCCCCTTGGACGGTCATCCCCAATGACCTGAGGACCTCTCATAGGGTCTCCCCTCCTTTGAAGGCCCACAGCACCTCCCAAAAACACCATCTTTGGGACCAACGACTTGGTGTATGTGGGAGTTGTGGTTCTGGGGATGGAACCCTGGGCCTCTACCCAAGTGTTCTACCACTGAACCACACTCCCAGCCCCAGGAACATGCCTTTAACACATGGACTTTGGGGGACATTCAACATCCAAACTAAGCATCCTATCCCCTTACCTTAAGGTCATACCAGGATAGGTGCCAGCCACGGCCTTGAGGAAGCAATATAGGTGAATGTTCACTGTGGTCTTCAGGAGTAAGGTTGAAACTGGGGCGTGTAGGTCCATAAGCCTGTTTTTCTGCTATGAAAATGTAACAGTCTGATGATGACCTCAGAAAATCTGCAGTGGGGCCAAGGCTGCAGGTGGGGGCTGGGAGAGAACTATTTTATCCATTATAGTTAAGAGGAAACAGACTCAGACCAAGGAACTTGCCAGATGGCTGGGAAGTAACATAGCTGAGATTACAGCTAGGATTCCCACTTTAAGGACTGTTGTCCCTCCCTCTGATGACACTAATTCACAGGACACAGGTATGTGTGCAGTTGTGGGCAGATGTGTGTGCTCATGTAGCACAGTGCAAAAGCCAGGAACTACAATCCTTTTCTTTAGAAAAAATGGGAATAGTGCAGTCATTCCAACACTAGCTTATGAGTTAGGGCAGTGGT